GCGAATGCGACATCGGCTGGACTGGCACATTCTGCGATAAAGTAATGCAGTATATGCACAAGTTTTCACTGCTTCTCGGGCTTTTCCCAGTATTTGAAATGCTAACAGTGGCGTGTGTAAATTTGGCTAAACTGCCATATACCCAACCGTGCTGCGTAAAACCGGGCTGGTCCAAAAACTACCAAATGTAGCGCAACCCAGCCGAGCGAAGCGCCGTGAACGTGATCTGAAATCCTACTGACTCGGAATCGGGCCGAAAAATGGCATGATGGAGAATTAGTGGAGAAAGTGACAAGAGAATAAAATTGTAAGGCTAAGGACATGTGGCATGAAACCGTATGTTGTAAATTTTTGTAAAAGAAATCGTATGGGATGAAATCTACCTGCGTTTCGTCCCTTAGCTGTAAGCGCAGACAGCAGTCGGGGGGTAGGGGGCGGGAACTCTTGACTTTTAACTTCAGAAGTTAATATTAGTGACACTAAATTTCAGAAGGACTGTCTGGACCCACAATGCAGTGGACATGGTGTATGCCACAATGAAAAATGCTACTGTGAAGACGGATATCGCGGAGCAAGTTGTGAAGAAGAATACTCTGCTGATGGTTGTGGCCGGAAAGAAATTCGTTTACGAGATCAGACTGAACCGGAGCCGGATGCTGACCCAGCATGTACTAGTCGTGGTAGAATTGATTCGGAATCAGGGCGCTGCTTGTGCATTCCCGGATATCACGGGAAGAAATGTGAATTAGGTGAGCACAAATGAATTTACAGCTTAGTTCAGCTTGCAGATAGCAATAAATTTTGTTTTTTCTGAAAACTTACATCAAAATAGATAAGTTTATTTGGAAAATCGTTGTGGAGATATTCAGCGGCACATTTACACATAGAACTGTATCAGGCCCTTTTGCCTAAAATTGTTTGTTACGTGGATATTTAATCAGCAGTTCTTCCGCTGATGTAGCCTGAAACTTGCTTTCTTCCGCTGATGTAGACTGAAACTCGCCATCCTTTATTTTGACCCATTTTTACCCATATAATTCTATACAGCCGTTCAAACGTATCCTTTCGCAACGCTGACGATTTCCTCTATGTTCCCCCAGCATCGCGTAGATATCATTTAACAATCCGCTTTATTTGTCTTTTGCATTAAGACATTTGCACATCTTTCGCTTTAGTACCAGTGTTTGACAGTTCAGTAGTCGGGTTTTTCAGCTTCTTTATTTAAGATCGCAGTCTTACGGCTTGTTCGCGCCTCCTTGCCGAAGTCATTAGCTGTGATTGTGCCAAGGTTGCCCGAATTATACAGAAACATATACCGTTTGGTTTCCGTAGGGCAATCTTGGCGCCACTAGAACAAAAAAGTAGCAACCTAATGCCCCGTATTTGTAGAGATTTTCAGTTTGCTACGATACAGCCAGTCCGAAAAGTTTTAAAAAAAGTCAGAAATTTCGATTCGTACGGTAATTATGGG